AAAGTAAAAAGAAAAATACCGGGTGAGGCAGTCACGATGTTACCAGGGGTTTTTCCAAAATTTGGGGAAAACCCCACGCCCCCTATCTCGTAAGATTGATGGGAAAATTTTTTTTTTTACCATTGTTTAGAAAAAAAAAAATTTTTTTTTATAAAAAAAATAATTTTTTTTTTTTTAAATTGGCCGGGGCCCTGAAACGAGTTTCGGAGAGGGCCTGTCACCCTCAAAGGGTTAAAAAATGTCTCATTAAAAATTAGAATGATAGTGACCTCAGTGAAAATTTTTCTGTAGTCAAAAGAGTGAGAAAATCTATAAGAATAATAAAATTTTATGGAACATTATTGCTAACCACCTATGCAAAAAAAAAAAGCACTAAAACTTGGGAAAGATGCACCAGCCCTTTATCTTCAAAAAATAAGAATAATGTAGGTGTCACCTAAAATATCTTTGATTTCTTTCTCCCTGAGGTAAGTTTCCTAGAAAAAACCATACCAAGTAATGGCTTCATTTCTAAAACCCCAGTGGTATCTTTCCCCTGCAAAGCAAAAAAAAAATAATACATGGGAATAAAATGTACTTGCAAACTTCACATGAATTTCTGTATATTTATAATACTCTCACAGTTTTTTTTTATTTCTTTAAAGTTCGTTTTTAAATTATTTCTCTTTATCTCTATGGGAAAATGGAAACACTTTTTTCTCTGCAAGCCATGCATGTTACGGGAAGCACCCAAAAGCTGGGAAAGGACTAGTAACCCATTTTCCTTATTAATTACTAAAAATTTTAAAAGAAAACATTTTAGAGTTGAGATTTTTAAATGGCATTTTTATTTTACAGAAAAGGAAGGGGGATGAGTGTGAAGTTATAAATGAAAAGGGAAGCTGGATGTAAGCCTAAGCAAAGCAAAGCTAAGGGGGAAAAGGGATTTTTTAGTGGGAAAAAAAAAAGGGATTAGGTCAGGTGTACTGAAGGTTAAAGCTAAGGAAGGATAGCAGTAATGTTGATGATTTGTTAGGAAGGGAAAAAAGGGGGGTATAAAGGTATACCCTTTAAGGATTAGGTGGATTTAAATAAGCACATGCAAAAAGTGGGGTTTTATTAAGTGTTTAACACTAAGAAAAAAAGGAGCTAGAGGGGAGAAAAAAGAGGAAGTAAGATTTGGGAGACATTAAGCAAGTGTTTGGGAGTTCTGAAACCCAATTTTAGAAATAATTAAGGTGGGGAACTTTAATGCGAAGGGTTTTTAAAGGCACGTAGGAAATCTGGGTGTCGGGATAAATGATAAAAGGAGGGGGGGGCCTTTGACTGAAAGAGGGAAAATAATAGTAACAGTTTTTAATAAAACAGATAATATGCATGAGATATGATACTGGGTTGAAGAATTAGTTTGTTAGACTGTGTTTAGTAGAAAAAGGTTTAAATTTGAGACTTCTGGGTATGCAGCTGTAAGGACAAAGGTATTGGGAACAAACATTATTTAGCTGTAGTGACAGTGAAAAAAGAAAGGGAAAGAGAGTAAACAAGAATGTCCCCAGTAAGAGGGAACGAAAATTCATAAATTTAAGGAGAAGGAGTTAGGTAAAAACAAAGCAACAGTTGGGAAAAAGGATGGGTAGGAATTAACAATGAGAAGGCGAAAGGGTATGAGTAGATTTAAAAATGCAGTTTAGGTGAATAGTAAAAATCGGGATATAGGAGGGGGTCAAGGAGAGGACAATTGTGGAATGAGAAATTGAGCATGTAAGGGCAAAAAGTTCATGAGAGATTTTTACAAAGTAAAAATGATATAAGGAGTTTGGGATAAAAGAGAAGTTAAAGAGTGTGATGGAAAGTAAAGGAGAGCAATGGAGAAAAGGAAAAGTTTTGGAGGGATTTAAATTTTTGAGAAGCCTAGGGAACGAACAGGAGTTATTAAAGGGGGGGTGGGGGGTAAGAAAGAGGGAGGAAAATTTATGGCCATTGAAATGTTGATGAAGATAGGTAAGCAAGTGATTTCATGAATTGGCCAGGGAGGTATAGCATCTTTTAGGAGTAAGGAAGGGCCAGATGTGTGTGGGATAGGTATATGAGGCAGTGAGTAAAATGAAAGGGGAGTAAAGCAGCTAAGATTGACGGAATCAAAACAGAAATGTTAAAAGCAGGTGGAGATATAGTTTTGGAGTAATTGGAGCATTTGTTAAGTAAATGTTAGAAAAGGAGGAAAGTACCTATGGACTGACAGAGAGCATGCATAGCTCCTTTGTATAAAGGAAAAGAGGATAAAAGAGTGTAAGAATTATAGAAGAATAAGCCTATTAAATATACTAGGTAAAGTGTATGGTACAGTTATTATGGAAAGAATTAATGGTAAAATGCAGAACAGGACTGCAGATGAATAAGTATTAGGAAAGATAGGGAATGTGTAGACCAAGTGTTCACATCGAAGCATATGAGTGATCACTAATTAGATAAAGGTAAGGAAGATTTTGTTGCATTTAGGAATTTAGAAAAAGCATGAGAGGGTAGATAAGGGAGCAATGTGGCAAATGTTGCAGGTGTAAGGAATAGGTAATAGGTTACTTAAAGTAGTTAAGAGTTTTTGTGAGGGTAATGAGTCTCAGGTTAGGGTATGCAATAGTTATGGGAAACAGATCTTGGGTAGGCATACTGTCTACAGACTGAGTGAAGGTGAAATTGTTTCTTCTTTTTTGGGTCACCCTACCTTGATGGGAGACAGCTAGTGTCAAAAATAAAAAACCCTCTCCATAAAAATGTCATGATGAAGATAATGGTTTCCTCAGATCACTTAACTAGTCCATACTTTAAGAGAAGTTTTGATCACACAGTAAAGCTGAAGATGCTGCAAATATGGTACTGTCAACAGCTACCAGAGACAAATTTCTAATTTACAAAACGTTTCCTGTAGTATGATGATGTGCTGAAGCATTATGCGCTTGTGGCTTGAAAATATCATAAAACACTAACCCCTTCAGGGTCCAAGGCCAAAATTTGAAGTGGTGCCCCAGTGTCCAAGAATTTTCAAAAAAAAAATTATTTTTTCTTATGAAATGGTAGAGAATCTTTTTGTGAAGGTAATAAAACAAAAAGTACAAAATTTGATGGAAAACTGACGAAATTATGCTCTCGCGAATTTTGATGTGTCGGCGATATTTACATTGACTCCCATTTTAGGCCAATTACATTATTCCAGTCGAAAAATTCTTAGCTATTTCACTAGTATTACTTCTATTCTATCGACTGAGCACAAGAAATCACCAAGTCAACTGCTTCAACTACAAAATAAAGTGATCAGAAATTGGTAATTTGGCCAATTTAACACAAACTTCAAAATATTCCAATTTCAAAATAGGGTCCAGAATAAACAATGTAGGTATTCCTGGCACTAAACTAACATTTCCTCTGTTCATTAGTTACGTTTTGAGGCTTTACAAATAAATTCCATTTTTATTTTTTATTCACATAATGAATTTTTATTCACACCAAAAACTAGAAGATTTACTGTTATGCAATATTGTAATAATTGTATAAATATCATCATCACATTTGTGAATGTATATTAGATCCACCAGCTGGCGTGTATTAAATGTGTTTACTCTTGAACATCGGCAAAAATTTAACATTTCCGCTACTTTGAGCTCAGTTTCAAGCCATTTCCAGTCCTAAAACCAATCAAAATCATCTCTATTTCTGTAATATGTCTTCCATTCTATCAAATGAGACCAAGATATCACAAATACAACTATAAAAAACATACGAAAAAACAATGCAAAGTCGCTGTTTTAATCGAAAATCATGGTCTCAGCTTTTTTTCTCTCATTAAACACAGTGTGCTGCAGGATTGTTTTATGTGGTGCACACATACCACATAGATGTATTCTCTCATATCTAGGCCCAAATGTACCACTCACAGTTTATCAGAGTGAGCTGGGCTCATGGCGTAGATCTACGGTTTGGACCCTGAACGTAAAGCCATAGATCTACGGGACAGACCCTGAAAGGGTTAAGCTGTGAGTTAGATAAGAGATTAATATGACATGACTGCTTGGAAGCCAAGAGTTGACAAATGTAATAATTCATTTTAGGACATTGTGAAATATATCCCATCTGTGCTAACAAATACTGAGGACCTCCGAAGCAGTTACTGGTGGCATCAATAGTCAGGGCACCATACATAAGCTCCTCTTTTTCCCATTTTCCAGACATATGTGAAGCTGTGGGGTAAGCCAGGTACTGACTCTAATAGGGAAAGGGCATCTCACTCTGCCAGGGTTTAAGCAGAGGGTCTGCCTTTTATGTTTAGGGGTGCTTGTCCAGTTTCCTTTTCTGCTCAGACTTGGGCAATATTTTCAAATCAAAAATTAGGAGGCAGCATTCAACAGACCATAAGTTGTCACTGGCCTTTGAAACTCAAACAACTGCTGTTAGAATGAAGTCACTCTCAAGAAAACAACATGAATCAGTATCCTGACAAGGAAGGGCAACATATCAATGCACTGTAATTTTACTGTAAACTAACTGCTTTCACCATGTAAACTGAGACTACCTCTGAGAGTAAAGCACAAACATGGAATGGGACGAAGATTTAGAATTCAGGCTATACATTCACCTTTGAAGAGACTAACAAAGCAAACACACAACTGGAAAATATATCTGAAGGTTATCTATACTATAAGGAACAGAGGAAGCTTGAACTAAATGCTTAGAGTCACCAGGAAAAGATGCATTTCTATTTAGATACTAGAGCAAGATGAGAAAAGCAAAGTTAATATAAAATGAAATACATGGCACTGCATTCACATTAGTCATAAATTTTAACACAAGGAAATAATATATAATGAAATCCACAAAACACAAAAACACAACGAAGGACAACAGGAGAAAATGGAATACAATAGCTGATAGTAAAGAAGACTTACTAGCATTGCATTAACTATTACACTACAGCACACCACAGTAACTGTACTACAGAACTAAAAATGCTAAGCGTTAATCCTACATACCAAACGTCTCTCTTCTGAGAGTGATGAATCATCCTCCTCAGTTACATCCACCTCCTGTAAATATCATTTTTAGTGTATTAAGTAGAATTTTTTTCTTTACATAAACTGATATATAATGAATCAAATTTTTCAAAATTGCAGGGACCTGACGTGAGTTTTTCAGAATACTATTGTGGTCAGAAAATGTCAGAAACTAAAAAAAAATTATGCTTTGAAGGTTATTTTTTGGCACTACTTTCTGTGATACAATATCTGTATAGTACTTCACTACATTAACTTTCAGAGCCACTGTATGATATCTACTTCATACACAAACTACAGTACAGGTGTGCCATCACAAATCTAGCAATCAGTTATTCAGTTCCTTCAGCTATTCAGCACTAATTTGGCTAGCATAATTTCAAATTTCCAGGGTCGCCACACCAACCTGCTGGTACTGTTTGGTGGTGCTACTTGCTGCATAAGTCATTCTAATTTCTTTTTCTCCATTTATTGTTGTGGAAAATTACATTTATCTGAATGTATCATTATGTACATAACAGTAAATGAACAAAGATAATTATTATTTATCAGTTAGACAAGTAGGAATTTGGGTCACCTAGGTCGCAAAAAATGTCCCCCTTCGATACCTACCACTGTCATATCCACAAGTTGCTCTGGACCTATTAATTACAAATGAAATGTACATCACCAGGAATTCTGGTAAATATATAAATTTGTGGACTGTATATTAAAATTAATAAATAATTATATATATATATATATATATATATACATGTATATATATATATATATATATATATATATATATTATATATATATATATATATATATATTATATATATATTATATATATACATTTATATAACAGAAGGAGAATATATCTTAATCATAACACTCACCAATTTAACTGGAGATTAATGTGTCATGTACAGGACCCCCCCCCCCTTTTGCCTACATTTATGAAAAATTTACTGGCCAGAATTTAAACATAAATTAGACAGCTTATCTGAGGTTCCTGGAGTTGTCCTGTCCTGTCGCCTGATACTCAAATTATGCAGGAATGCACATCCAACAATTTCGGCTCCTATTTGAGAGGTGTCAGTCTAATTTTAACCTCTAGAGCACGAAAATTCTTCACATTATTAACTAATGTCTGTTACTCTCAATTCAAAACAAACAACAATGGCCAGTGTCATCTGCGCAGGCACAGGTTCCCATTCTCGATAACATAATTTATTAAATACAATTTAGGCCATCTATTTACCTATAAATTACCGTATTTCTGGAAAATATATACAGTATTTTCCACAATTGTTATAATTCGCTTACTTTTAGCCCTAGCCATGGTTCCAATGAATAAAAGAAATGCTTCTCATTATGTAAAGCACCAACACAGTACATTATCCATTAAAGATAAGGTGGCTTTGAAGCCACTGTCAGTTGTCATGAACTCAGTCTCATGAAGCAGGAGAATATACTTTATTATTATGCTAATATCAACACTACAGCTTATTTGCCTATCACAACTGATCTAATATGACATAATAAACAATATAAATAACATAAAACATGTTAAATACTACTCCAGAATAAATAATATTTGGCATAACAAAAAGCAGTTCGACGGAGGTATGAAGAGGATATGGTAAACAAATGCCATTCTCCTATCCCTGTCTTGGGTGCTTATATTAGAGAAAACAGAGTATAGCACAGGGCTAACTGTGATATACACTCGTACTGCACCATAAACCTGAAACAAAAAGTTATTTTCTCTATATAGATTATCACACATAGCAGCATATGTGTAGAGAACCTAGGATAACCCAAAAAAGTCAACGTGGCTTATTTCTAGTACCTGGCTTAGGTTAGCCATATACGATTTTTGGTAAATATTCGATTCCCAGCCAGGGTAGAAACATTAGGCATGTTTCTTTACACCTGTTGCCTATGTTTACCCATCAGTAAATGGGTGCCTGGGTGTTAGCTGATAGTGTGGGTGTTAGCTGACTAGTGTGGGTGTTATCCTGGGACAATGACCTAATTTTCTTGAAATACTCAGCATAACAAGCGGCTTTCTATATAGTAGTATGTCACTGATGTCAGCTAGGCCTGTATACCTTGTACAGGTCCCCCATCACAAATCCGGCAATCAGTTATTCGGTTCCTTCAGTTATTCGGCACTAATTTTGGCTAGCATAATTTCAAATTTCCAGGTTCTCCACACCAACTTGCTGGTACTGTTTGGTGGCACTACTTGCTGCAAAAGTCATTCCAATTTCTTTTTCTCCATTTATTGTTTTAACCTGCTTACTTTTTTCCCTAGCCATGGTTCCAATGAATAAAAGAAATGCTTCTCATTATGTAAAGCACCTACACAGTACATTTCAGGCCCCTTTCTGAAACTGTCATTCTATGTCGCTAAATTTTTGAAAAAAAAAAATTATTTTTTCTTGTGAAATGATAGAGAATCTTTTCCCGATGGTAATGACACCAAAAGTTCGAAATTTGGTCGAAAACTCATGGAATTATGCTCCCGCGAAGTTAGCGGTCTCGGCGACATATGCGTATCGGCGATTTCGCCAACTTTGAGCCCTATTTTCAGCCAATTCTGTTGTACCAGTTGACCAAACTCATAGCTATTTCTTTAGAACTCCATTTTATCTATCAGCTGAATACAAGAAACCTCCCATTTACCAATTTGGACTACCCAATATTGTGGTCAGAAATTGGCAATTTGCCCAATTTCACGCAAACTAAAAAAGATGCCAGTTTCAAAATAGGGTCCAGAATAAACAAGGTAGACATTCTTGGCACTAAAATAACATATCCTTTGTTCATTAGTCACATCTCTAGGCCCCTCTTATATTATTATTGCTTTCTATTTTGATTTTTTATTCATACAAAAAAATACAAAATTTACTGTTATGCAGACTACTGCATTATTGTAAAAATGGTATAAATAATATCAGTGCACTAGTGAAAGAATATTAGACTCCCCAGTTGACGTGTATTGGACGTGTGGTGTGATTTGTTTACTCCTGAACATTGGTAAAAATCGAACATTTCTGCTACTTTGAGTTCAGTTTCAAGATCGTTTTCATCGTCAAAGTAATGAAAATCATCTCTATTTCTGTAATATGTTTTCCATGTTATCACCTAAGACCATGAAAACACAAACACATAGATAAATACTATACGAAAATACACCTCAAAGTCGGCGTTTTAATCCAAAAAAATGATCCGTTTTTTTCTCATTACGCACTGTGTGCTGCAGGATTTTTTTTATGTGGTGCACACTGACCACACAGACCCATTCTCTCACATGTGGGCCTACCAGCTTTCTTCCGCTTGATTTGAAGCCGCTAGAATTATTGAGTATATATACATCTGAAACACTGGCTCATAAGACGCATATATACGACCAAAACAGTCAAAGGGTTAAAGATAAGGTGGCTTTGAAGCCACTGTCGGTTGCCATGAGCTCAGTCTCATGAAGCAGAATATGCTTTATTATTACGCTAATATTAACACTACAGCTTATTTGCCTATCACAATTGATCTAATATGACATAAGAAACAATATAAATAACATAAAACATGTTAAATACTCCAGAATGAATAATATTTGGCATAACACCAAGCAGTTCGACAGAGTTATGAAGAGGATATGGTAAACAAATGCCATTCTCCTATCCCTGTCTTGGTGGCTTATATTAGAGAAAACGGAGTATAGCACAGGGCTAACTATGATATACACTCATACTCCACCATAAACATGAAACAAAAGTTATTTTCTCTCTATAGATTATCACACATAGCAGCATATGTGTAGAGAACCTAGGATAACCCCAAAAAAGTCAATGTGGTTTATTTTTAGTACCTGGCTTGGATTAGCCATATATGATTTTTGGTAAATATTCGATTCCCAGCCAGGGTAGAAACATTAGGCGTGTTTCTTTACACCTGTTGTCTATGTTTACCCATCAGTAAATGGGTACCTGGGTGTTAGTCGGCTAGTGTGGGTGTTATCCTGGGACACTGACCTAATTTTCTTGAAATACTCAGCATAACAAGTGCCTTTCTATACAGTAGTATGTCACTCGTATTGTAGATAGTGACCCTCGTATTGTAGATAGTCTTAATGACCCTCGTGTAGTAGTCTTTTTAGTATGATAATAAGATGTTATCTTCATTATAGAATAATAAGAAAATATTATAACATTTATATTATAATAATAAGGTAAAAGGACCCCAATGGAAATAAGTCACTCTGTCTGACTTTTTTGGGTTATCCTAGGTTCTCTACACACATGCTGCTATGTATGATAATTCTATGTAACTGTATTTGTGTATACCTGAATAAACTTACTTAGTGATGTCAACTAGGCCTGTATACCTTGTACATGTACGTGTAGTAAATAAAGATATTATTATTACACTATTTTTTTTTTTTTATTATCACACTGGCCGATTCCCACCAAGGCAGGGTGGCCCGAAAAAGAAAAACTTTCACCATCATTCACTCCATCACTGTCTTGCCAGAAGGGTGCTTTACACTACAGTTTTTAAACTGCAACATTAACACCCCTCCTTCAGAGTGCAGGCACTGTACTTCCCATCTCCAGGACTCAAGTCCGGCCTGCCGGTTTCCCTGAATCCCTTCATAAATGTTACTTTGCTCACACTCCAACAGCACGTCAAGTATTAAAAACCATTTGTCTCCATTCACTCCTATCAAACACGCTCACGCATGCCTGCTGGAAGTCCAAGCCCCTCGCACACAAAACCTCCTTTACCCCCTCCCTCCAACCTTTCCTAGGCCGACCCCTACCCCGCCTTCCTTCCACTACAGACTATTATTATTATTATTATTATTAATTATTATTATTTTCTCAGTTGTTTGTTGGGTTATCTTATTCAAACTTGGGCAATGTATGACAGAAGGACACTTCTTCACGTACACCAAAAATGAAAGAAATCAGACCATAAATAGCGGAGTTCACTTCTTAGCCATTAGCAGCCGCTTAGCGGTATATTTTTGTATGGTTGTTATGGTT